GTGTAATTACTGTCAGCACATACTGTATAATGTACAACAACTTGGAATCAACTATAGGAACACTAACCCAGAACCTAACCCTAAAGATGTGTCCCCGTAGACGCCTTTTATTACTCAGCTTTCTTGAGTACACCGTAGATAATGTGCAATACATTTTACTTGAACCAAGTAAGTTTACTTTGATTTTTTAAGGTCAGTGGTTTGAATGCTCTTGTTTTAAGTGAGGTCAGATAATTCCTTTGGCAACACTTTGCCATGGCGTTTTACAGTAAAGATGAAATGATAATACCTTGAATGAAAAATGAAAATAAGTGCTGTCCATATGAACTCCCCAGCATTTTTACATCCTCAATGGTTGTACTGAAATTCCACACGATAACTGAACACTCATCGTGATTGCTCATGTTCATCTGATTATGTTTCCATATTCCCTGCACTATTTCATCTTGTTTTATTATCTAACTGACAGCTTAGTGACTCCATCAGCCGTTTAAGAGTCTTATTATGTGAGGTTTGATCGATAGTAATTTGTTATTTGCTTTTTGTTTAATTATATATGGAAAATACCGATGTCCACCTGTCTGACTCACAGTAGCACCAAACAGCAGATTTCAAAGATTTCCTCATGATAAAACAAAGAGAGTAAAGCCCTTGCGATCGAAACCGTAATAGTGCTGCCAATAACTGACAGAAGATTAGAAGACTACTGAGTTCCTGTAAAGCCCAGATTTTAAAAGTTAAAACTTTCTCTTCCTTCTTCATGGTAACAATGAATCAGATGTGTTAAAGATATCCGAGCCTCTAATCAGAGTTTCTTCTATTCATGCATTACTGTTAACTCATTCACAATCTTTTCAGTATTTGTTTTTAATGTCCTTAAAGCAGTCACGAAGGCCCCTGCAGTGCACCATCAGGCTTTCAAGAAACTGTAAAGCTTCAGTTTGTTGGACTCCCTTCCCACAAATGAAAGAGCTTCCTTCTTTTATTGTGTTTGTTCAATCTTAACGATTCAATTTCTCAAGTCATTTTCAAATGGTTTGCCAAAGTTTATTTATTTAGCAACTACTCTTAAAACACTCTCTGTTGATATTGGATTGACGTTTTGTTTAAAGACCATTTTTTTTCAAGATAATCTATTAAGTGCTTCCAGTTTCCTTGTTTTCTCAGACATTCTCAGAAATTCCTACTGACTGTGTCTCTTTTGTTATTGTGTGAGTATTAAAAATTGTCCAGTAAAATGTAAATCATTAATCAATCTTTTGAAAGCATACGGAAATCACCTACTGTATATGTAGGTGTCTGTATATGACCAAAACAGTTTTTTCCCCCAAATCTTTTGTTTTGTCTACGAATGTAAGAAAAAGACTCCTGATAATTAATCAATAAAACAGACAAAGATATGATGTGACACATGACACTATGAAACTAAAATTCTTTTCAATTTTTTTTTTGGTATCATTCCAAGGAAGTTTTAAAATAGAAAATCTTTCTTTCAATTCATAGTTAACAATTTGCGTACATCAATAGACTGTTGTAGGTGTCACATAACTCCTAACTGGAAGTACCTCTCCCACAGCAATTGCCATTGACAACTCTTCACAATAGATAATGCACTGAACACAAACCAATTAAACAAATGTCATTTGGTGGAAATATTGTGGTGTAAGATGAGAACAGTGATCTCATGTTTCGGAATGAAAGCATACAAAAAGAAAAATTATTACAATCATCTCCCGAGACAGGAAAACCGAAACTGGTGAGTGTCCCTAGGGAGGACACCATTGCGTGTTCAACACTACAATACATGAATCACCAGGAACAATGGTGGAAATTCTGAAGGATTCCAAATGATTTTTAGCTCTTCTGTCTTCACAACATGACATGTGATTGAGAGCGAGTAGTATTTTCTACGTTCTGTGGTACAGTAATACACTGACTGGCAGGAAAGGCACTTTTTGATCTGCTAACCTATATCCTGAAGCACTTTGCTGGAAAGTCGTCATTTAGTGGACACTTGTAAAAGTATCCAAAGTACACTTGTTACAGGAACAAAATCCCTGGAGCAACCTGTCATTAAGGGGCCTTTTCAAAGGCTCATGACTCCTTTCAAGGAATTAACCACAACATTGAACTTCAAACTCACCACACCTTCCTCTACTGCTGAATAAAACAGGAATTGGGAAAATATTATACCCCTGTTGGTCTTTGACTCTTCAGATGTGGAATGGAGGATGAGACACTGAGGCTGACCGCCCCAATATTTGATTGGAATTCACATATTGACTCTACCTATTCATAAATGTTCAACCCCTTTTCCAGAAAAGTTAGGGACAATGTGTAAAATGCAATAAAAAACACTATCTGGGATTTGTTATTTCTCTTGATCCTTTTTTTTAACCGACAAAAGTTCAAAAGAAAATATTTCCGATGTTTTCACTAATCAGCATAATTGTATTTTGTAAATATAAATTTTTATTTTTATTTTAATGGCTGCAACACACTCCGAAAAAGTTGGGACAAAGGCAAAATAAAAGTGAAACAATTATATAATATCCATGTTAAACTGTTTTTTAAACAGTCTCCAATGAGCAAGTGAATTGGTAATAGATGAGGGAATCGTGTTTGGGTGTAAACGAGCAAAGATGGGTCACGGCTCACCAATCTCTGCCACATTTCATGAGAGAATTGTCAAACAATTCAAAAATCTAATTTCTCAATGCAAGATTGCAAAGAATTTACGTCTTTCACCATCTACCACACATAATATTGTGAAAAGATTCAGTGAATCCAGAGAAATCTCAGTCTGTGTAGGGCAAGGCAGGAGACATCTGATGAAGGTGCGTGGCCTTTGAGCCCTCAGACGGCATTGCATGTGAAACCATCATGCTTCTGTGTTAAATACAGCCACATGTACTCGGGAGTACTTTAGAAAACCGTTTTCCCTTAACACAGTCTGACGCTGCATCAAGAAATGCAACTGGAATCTCTGTTACGCAAGGAGAAATCGTGTTCAAAACAGAGATGCCACCGAGTTCTCTGGGACCGAGCTCCCCAGACAGCAACATAGTGTCAGCCCAGATCCGGCCCACATCTGGTACACGTGGATTCCGGATCTGGGTCAACACTATGTTGCTGTCTGGGTCGTGGTCTGAAAGACAGTGGAAATATGTGCTGTGGTCAGATGAGTCCATATTTCAGCTTGTTTTTGGCAAAAATGGACATCGAGTTCTCAGTCCCAAAGACAAAAGGGACCATCTAGACTTTCATCAGCGACAGGTGCAAAGACAAACAATTATTTATCATGGTATGGAGGTGCATCCGTGCAAACAGTATGGGTGACTTGCATATGTGTGAAGGTATCTTTGACATGGAGGCATATATTTGGATTGTAAAGAGACATAAACTGCCATCAAGATGACATCTTTCCTGAGAAGCAAGTCAATGCCAGGCTCATTCTGCACATTGACTGAGGGGTTTCTTAGTCTGCACAGTGTGTGTTGCAGTTTTTAAAATCAAAATGTGTTTATATTTACAAAATACAACAAAGCTGTTCAGGGAAAACTTTGTAAATCTTTTCTTTGTACATTCGTCATTTAAATAAAGGTTCAAGAGAATTAACACATCACAGATTCTTGATTTTATTGCATTTTACAAAATGTCCCAACTTTTCTGGAAATGGGGTTTATAATATATGTATACATCTATGTCACTATATCGCAAGTGGTGTTGTCGTTACATATAAGGCAATTTATTATTATCACTATACATCCTCAGGATAGAGGATAGAGAAGATATAAGTTTATACCATATATGAAATACCCATAGTTAAATTAGAATAACATATATTTTAAAAAATATAAAAAAAACAGGATGTATTATTTGATTATATTTACCTCATATTAGAGTGTAAAGCAAATTAATTTCATTTTTAAATATGTTTCTTTGCCATACAAGCAGTGCTTCTCAACAACCGGACTAAGAATAGCGAGCTTATGTTTTCCAACTTAAAAAAAGCACATGGTAAGTTGAGCTAATTTATATTCCTTTTTTATTAGTGAGTTTTTGTAGCGCTAGATTTTGGTACCGTCTTTCAGTGTTAGGACAGACCAGGTTCGATGTCATTACAATGATCTGTGGCTGAATTAATGTAATACATAATAACACAATCAGGGTTTTCCTGTGGTTTTCCGATACAAGCTCCTACCATGTCCCAAATCATTACATTTTGATGGGCCCCATAAACCTACATTTTTACTTTTACTGGAAAAACCTTTAATCTTTCTGGGAAAATGCTAAATTTGTCCCTTCGCTGTGATTTAAACATCATACTTGATATCATCATGTATTTTGACCGTAAATCCTGTAACATTTTGCCCTAAATCATATTTCAATATAAGTAGAAGAAATCTAGCAATAGCTTAAACCTGCATGACCTCAGATGCACAAGATACTCTCCAACTAGCTGTCTATCGGGTTTGGACTTGCCAGAAATAACAAAGACATGAAATCGTGCCAATACCTACTTTCAGTTTGTAGCCAAACATGTTTGATTGTTGTAATTCATCCCGTTGAGGTATAACATTTTGCAGCCCCACTACATATATCATACACATACAGTAATGTAGACTCCCAGACTATTTCAATTTTATGTGTGTTTATAAAACAAAATTCACGGTGGACAAGAAGACATCATGTAATAAATTTTGAAATTTATTGAGTTTCAATCTAAACAAGATCTTACAAAAAGCAGAAGTCATCAAGAAGATTCTATTAAACGACATTTAAAAAGAGCTTTTAAAATTATATTTACAAACATATATTCAACTTTTGTCATTTTGTGAAATAGTGTAAATAAATATTGTAAAAACATGAAAACAGACATCCACAGCAGGAAAATAAGACAGTTTGTACTGTTAGTCTACAGTATGTATATCAAGAAAGAGATACAGGTAGCTGTGAGTTTGCACAAATATTCTATATTCATATTACATTATTGGTGTCATTTCGTAATAAAAGCACCAAGCTGTTCAATGCAGTGGAGTCAGCAGTGGTTTACAGTCATCTAGATGCTCCAGGCCTTCGACAGCTTCGATCAGCCTCTCCACCCTCTCATTGGACAGAACTGTGCCTGCATTGTTACAGAACTTTTTCTGCAGGCTTTCTTGGCTAAGTGGGTTCCTCCAATGGCCGTAGAAGGTGTCACATCGCCCTTTTAGGACATCTCCACTTACCAAGGTAACCTCCACCTCGCCGTACATTATGTTGAAATTGGCCGGGTTGTCGTGGGGGTGCTCCAAACGGACACGGGAGAGGAGCGCATGAAGTTCGGGCCGTCGGATGGCTTCTGGGTGGAAGGACCGCACCGTGACTTCTCCATCCAACAGGGCAGTGCAGGCATTAAACTGGAAGGAGTGTCGTGCCTGGTGCTCTGTCTCCGGGAACGGACGGTTGATGTACTTGGAGAGCGGCACCCTAAGCAGGATGTCCTGCACCAGGTTTGGAGAAACGCTGCCTCCTCTCAGGCCAACCAGGGTCTTGCGCACAACAGAGGCAGCATCAACGATCCAGTGCATCCCGAGGTGTGCGGGAAAGCGCTTGAAAGCGATGTCTTGTTTCTCTAAGAGGAAGATGTGCTCATCCCTCTCGGGGGACGGGATGGGGTGTGGGGCGTAGTCTTCATAGAAAGCGCTGAAGCCAGCTACGCCAGGCACTGCATCCAGGACCAGAGGACTTGCTTCCAAGCCACGAGATGCCAGCAGGGCTGCTTCGAGCCCGAGGCGCGAGGCGTTTCCGATGTGAAGAGGTTTGGATTGTGTGGCGGCGTTAGCCATTGGCGCACCTGCCAAAGATGCAGCGATGGCCAGGGCATTACTGCACTGATTGCGGTCCAGAGAGAGGAGGCGAGCACAGGCAGCAGCACTACCCAGAGTTCCCACCACACTGGGAGGATGAAACCTAGTAGAGAAGACAGAGAAAGAGCACAGTCGTTATTTTACAAGCTTGGCCATTCTCAAGACAATACAGAGCCACAGAACTGTCTAAATTTTGATCAGCTGATCAGAATATAAGTGGTGCTTTCCCGTGCAAAGCTATCCACAACTGTTCTAGGGTGTAGGCTAGTCAGTAACCACACCTAGAGAATACCTCAGTGTCGATTCGAACACTTAGAGTCGAACATGAAGCCTTTCAAAGTAAACTCCATTTGACAGAGTACACAGACACAGGTGTTTGACAAATGCTCACTAGGACGTTTCACCATTGTAACCTTTTCATGTGGTCGAATGCATTCGAACAGCCCCAAAAGACCGCCTACTCTCCTCTACTGATCTGACGCATAAATATTATGGGAAGCGCACTAGCCAGACAGGATTTAAACTTTATTGGCTGGAGACCCGAGTTTGAAGACGAAAAACCTTTCGTCTTCGTTTGAGGATGAAAAACGTACCAAGCGTAGAGCTTCTGTTCTTTATCATTCCTGATATCTAACACGCACTCGCCACCGCTATCAGAGCAGAAACAAATGTTTTTCCGTAAAATTTAAATCCAATCCCAACCCCATCCTGGCCTCTAAATATGACTCTGTTCCTTCTTCAAAATGACTATATGAAATATTTACATTCTTTTCTATTGTTTGCCATGGTAAAATGTCTGAAATAGTAAAAGCAAGTAATATCCTTTCCTAGCTCCAATAAAATTCTCTTGTACTCAATAAATCACAATGTTTTTTTTTGTTTACACTTTATAGCTACCAGACATTATTCTAGAACACAGGTGGATTCTGTTTTCAGAGTACTCAGGAAATAACAAATTATAAGTGTTTAACTATATTCTCTGAGCAAAAACAGAACTGCTCTGCATAAACACCTGTCTGAAGGAGCTTTGACAACCTTTCACATGGAATCTGCTGTGTTCTTACCCACCTAGCTCTCTGTTTGTCTAGAACCTCAGAAAACACCCATGCTGTTATACTGCCATATCCTCCTGGGACCCAAGAATAGACTTTTGTCCACTGTAGTGGACATTATATTTTAGTGAATTTCTCTGACATCATACATGTCACATGACACAACCTGGGTGTCCTGTAAAGAGCACACCCAGGACTTTTCAGAGATACCAAATGTTTGGAGGTTTCACCATGAAAACAACTTCTCCTTGGTCTTTAAAAATGTCTGACATTAATTTAGTGATCAAATGTAGCATTCTTATGGAAATATGATAATATAGTGTAATTATAATATAAATTGGACTACTTTTCAAATTGTATTTCATAAAACAACATCTCAGGAAAATGTTAAGGGGTTAAAAAAAAAAAAAACTTTCTGTTACAGAACAGGGCATTGATTTCAAACGTGTCAACTGTAGAGGACATCAGGACTAAAATCATGTTTATCAGGCATTCTGGGAGACACAACAAGTGAATATGGAAATAAATTATACATCAATATTCCTATGAAATGTTAGATATTATTATTAAAATGTTGCCAATTATTACTCCAATTATTACCCTTTATTCTTTCATTAAATGTTGCTCCAAGAACACATTAATGTGCAAATTAGATACAGTGTATAGATACATTGCATTGAATGGGAATATTAACTTATGGCCATTTTACCCACATATTGCAAAAAGTAAAATGGTGTATCAATTCATTCCATTATTTCTTTCATAACATAGTTGAGAATAATCTTTATACAAATTTTGGTTGAAAAAATCCTGAAACCCCAAAATGTATTGGTGATTGAAAAAAAAATCCCATTGTTTTTGCCTATACATATAATTTCATGTCATTTTATTTTTTAAACAACTTAGTCCTGGCGTCCACTACAGAGGACATAGGATAACGTATGAATAAAATATTATTTTATATATATGTTTTTTTTTACCATTTGTTTATTGTGCTCTAAACAGTGTGATGACATGGAAAAAAACTAAATTCAAAAAACTTTTTTTTTCTGGGTCTCAGGAGGATATTCAGGCTGTGCTGTACTTAGAAATATAGTTGTCGCTCTCGGTCACTTTAGTTGAGAATGAGACAAAGAAATTGACTCTTACCTCTTAGGGATGTTGTGAGCCTCATTGGAGAATCTCATCAGTCGACCCTGTATTTCGATGCCCACATTGAAGGCGGTTAGAAAGTCGAGCCCACTTGTTTTGCTGTTCTTTTGCAACATGTCACTTATAGCCAGGAGGGCAGGCAGAACCGCTCCAGAGGGGTGGGTTGCAGGGTGCCAAGTGTCATCAAAGTCCATTGAGTGAGCCTGTGGAAAACCAACATGTCAATCAATGTCTAGAGTATCTCTTTATTGTGGCTGTCCTGGAATGATGGTTTGTATTTCTAAATATCAGAAGACCATGTCATAGCCTTCAGATAGCTTCACTAGTGTAGCCAAAATGCTACAGGGAAAAGGAAAAAGCTGTGCATGACTACCGATAGTATGAGCAAGACCCAATAACCTGGTCTGTCTAGTTTCTATAATCTGAAATACTTCCTGAGGTGTTAGTGGTTAAACACACTTTATTTAGAGGGTTTACACACCAGAACTTCCAACAGTAGCATGGATGTTTCTGTAGACCATAAAAGCTTCACAGTGCTGAGGTTTCATGACTCATTAGAGGTTTTTTTTTTTTTCTCATTTCCACATTTGTAATGGTGCTGAATGTTACAAAAACAAGCTTATAATTTAATGCTTAATTGACTGTCTAGCTGGATACTAATTTCAGGATCTGCAGAACAGGACTTTCTGAAGAAACACTGAGAATGTGTCTAGGATGTTGAATCACACATCCAGTGTAAGATAAACTAAGAACTGCAATGACATCACAATACCCTTCATTATACTTACTGCAACTCCATTGACAAAAGCTGAAAGCGTTGGAGAAAGCTTCACACCTTGGCGCCCATAGACGAAGCTGACGTCATCAGAAGCATACATGTGCTTGGGGAAGAGGATAAATGAATGGTCATTAGATCCAACTCATTCACACATCAACAAACACATTAGAAGTGTCCGACATCACTTTCTGTACACCATTGCTAAACCATGTCCAGGAAAGAATTGCACTCTGTTTGGCATCACTCAATTCTACTGAAAAATGCTGATCTCTTGATGATTGAAAAACATGTTGTTTCCTCTAAAGGTTACTATTGGCATTGTGCCCTACCTGGCAGTGCTGAAGGACCAGTTCAAACACCTCAGTGTTGCTTCCCAAAAGCCCAACGCCGATGCTGTCCAGAATCATGCGTTTGCTGCGCTGCAGCACGGTTGGTGACAGATGCCTTGGTTGTACGCTCTGAATAAACCTGCCAAAGCTGCTGGTCACTGTTTCCTCAGGGGCAGGACGCTCTGCCACTAAAAACACACAAGAGACAGTGTAAATGAACACTGAAACAATTTCCTTTGCTGGATAGCCCCCATCCTGAGTGCCAATGACTATTCTAGATTAGCCGATTGGCCAGTCTACATAAATGTTTAACTAAACTCCAGACTCTAAATAAAAGTCTAGACTTTCACAGGCTTTCTTTTCTGTCATGAGTTAACAAATAAGGCTGTGACAAGTAGAGCTTGCTCACCATCTAGTGCAGACTTATGGAGTCCTCGAGCAGCAGAAAAAGCAGACAGGCATCTGGTAGATCTCTGTGTACAAACAATTATATTTGAGTGTCTCAGCTCTATAGTATGTACGTACAGTATATTTAGTTAGTGTACACTAATTGTATACACTAACTAAATAAGAGTGTACTCTTTTAAGTGTACCTTAAATGCACAGCTAAAAAGCCTAGTCAAATACAATGTAAAAGCCTTCCATTTAATACTATTTTCTGAAAGTTTTTTCTTCTATGAAACATAAAAAACCCTATTAAACACTAATTGTAAACAGTTTGGCTTCAATAAGGCACTTCGTAAAAAAAAATCCTGTAGTTTATACAACTTGTACGGTGTTTTTTTTCTTTCTTTATACATCGAACAATCACACATAAATCTAGAAATTACACATCTATGACACAACATGATAGCATAAAATGTTCTCTACCTGTGCAACTGAAAGCATGTTGTCAATGTTTGTTCAGAATCTGGATATGAAGAGGCTTGATATATCTGTTTGTTGATTCGGAGTTGAAGAAAGGCTGTCTTCTTTTCCCTATCTCAGTGTAGAGATGATTGTAGGTCGATGATAAAGATGATGTGCTGGAGTCAGGTGTTTTATACACCACTGGACCACAAAAGAGGATGACACACCCACTGAAGAACTAGGGTTGGAATTCCCAAGTTTTGTTTATTTTTAGGTTCATAGGTGGGATTTCGCAGAAGGAAACAAACTGTCTTGTGAAAGGGTCAATGATGTCATCATTTGTAAGACCAAGGGTTGGTTGACATCACTCTAACTCCTCCCAGCTTCCATGAGTATGCTGCTATAAACTTAAAGCATTCTTCACAAGCATCTCAATACTTCATTACAGATCAAGGATTCTAATTAGGTAAGTTTCTTATGTCTTTAAACCTTTTTTCTGTAATTTTTTATGTAGTTGTGTCTATTTATAATGCTAATGTAGTTGTGTCTATTTATAACATGGTATCTCACAAAGTGTGTGTATGCGCGTATAGGCATGTTCCATAAACATAATGATTTTTATACTGTACAAACTGTATATTCTATCCCATAAACCTACCCAATAACAGAAAATTTTCAGCATTTTTACATTTTCAAAAAAACATGTTTTATGATTTATAAACTGTTTTCCTCATGGGGAAAAAATGAGGTATAATATTTCTGGTATTACTATCTTTGTGGAAACATATAATATTGTAAATATACACATTAACGTTAACATTTCACTGCTCACTCAGTTATGATTACGTTGAAAACATGTTGAAAAGTTGACATAAAAGTCTGTTCAAACTTACTGCGAGTTTATCCTCAACACAGACAGCTATATGTGTATGATGACACCTGTCTGCTGGCTGTTTGAGATGAAACCTACACCTAGACTGTAATAGTATAAATGTTCAGCCAACAATCACAGCTCAGAGGGGCAGTTTTAGTTTTAAAGCTTGAAAACTAAAGCATCCACTATGTGAAAAAGCGTTTGCCTCCTGCTCAGCTGTTTCCTGAGTAGACAACTGTGTTGCTTACTTACGGAGAGGAGGGAGAATATGAAACTAAACACACCCATAAAAAGGCTGTTTAGTGCACACTCAAGAGCTAAGTATTTTGCCACATCTTAATGAGGCTTTGACAGGTTTCATTTTATGAAGGCTTTTAATTATCTTTTATATCACAGACTAAAATTTATTTGTAGACATGTTTGTAGATGTATGTCCCACCACTAAAAGTACAGAATACAGAAAGTACATTTTAGCATGCGGTTTAAATGGCTTATATCAATCCGTTTAAGTAACTTTTATTAACATGGATATGTTCATAATGTCAATTAATTTGGGCTGATAAAATCAGGAAAAAATATTTAAGCACACTGTGAATTAATTATTAATGTTTCAGAGAGAATTTGACTGATCAAAATGTCATTTTGCTACAAATGTTATAATTTGTATTTTTTATGATCATATCCTAATTATCCAACTTAATTCTATCAGCAAAAAGCTACACTTAAGGGGAAGGTCATGGCATCGGCGAGTGACTTTCCGGCAAGTTTTTATGGTGAGCCAGGAGTGCTTGGGCTCCTTGCCAATGGCATCAGTGCTTTCCTGGTCCTACTGCAGAACTTCCATGGGGCCAGGACTGGCATTCCTGCAGAGGGAGTGGAGAACATATTAGCAGGTCACTGTTTTATCAGTTTTTTTTATCAAACAACTTGTAAGAATTATACATTTATATGCTAATGGCAGAAAATAGTTGAAACCTATTTGCATTTTTGCTGCTTTTGTTTTGTGCAATACACCAGACTGCTTACTTCCTTGAACATCACGCATCCCTTTCTTTGTATCTTATGTCAATTTATACAGGTGTTCATCTCATTCTGATTGGTGGAGTGTGTCAGCTTGTGGCAGGATTGCTGTCTTTCCGAAAATATGACCATCTGAGTGGAACATCATTTGTAGGATACGCAGCTCTGTGGGGGAGCTATGGGGCCACAAGAATTTTCCTAGGTGCCAACCAACAAAGACCAAACTCATTTAATGAATCAACAATGATAAACAGCACATTTCAAAATCTGCTCACAAACACTAGTGTCAATAAAACCGACATTCCAATGTACATCAAGGAGTCTGCCATAGCTGGGCTGGTACCTTACATCCTGCTTTCCTTTCTACTGGCCTTCTGTTCAGCAACAGTAAACTACATCATGCCCTTTGTGTTTGGGGCCATCACCCTCACACTGATATTTGAGGCTGTGGGTCTGGTAGCAAGCTGGGCTTTAGTGGTCTCTGGGATTCTGGAGCTCCTAATCCTGCTCTTTGCCATATATGGCTCATCAGCACTGCTAATCAAGGGATTGGCCCAACGCTACGTGCTGAAGGGTTTTGGAAACCCTCTCTTTAATGTGCTGCTCCTAGGAACCACCAATGCTAGCAGCTCCCAAAGCTTAGGCCAAGAGAAGAAGAAGAACACAAAATATGCTGAACCTATGGCCCTGGGATTCTTCTGCGACACAGTCTCACCATTTATATTCGCATTCTACGCCTTTGGCTACTTCCCGTCGATCCCAGTAGCTGCCATCTGGATAACCATTAATTCTGCTGCTCAGCTTCTATCAAGCTATTATGCATATCTGCGTCAAGACTGCTACCATGCAACCAAGTTTGGCCTGCACTGCGTGTTTTGGTTGGTGAAGACCTGGGAAGAGTATGTGGTGTCCGTAACCATTGGCCGGACTGAAGCTGGTGAAGTAAGGCATGCCATGGTTGGCAACTGGTTCTTCCTGTCTGCTGCTTTGGTTTTCTGCGTTGCAAGTCTAAACAAAGACACTCTTGAGCTAGTTCACAATTCATTTTTTGTCCTGGTGACCATATCAACCATCTCCCAGATTCCCATCGACGGGTACTACATCTTTTTTGGAGTGACCTGCTCCCTGTTCACTCTCTTATCCTTCTATGGCACTTTTGCACGACTCATCAACACTATTGCGGAGAAGTCCTTGATTCCAGTTGGACCCCAGCCTGTCTTCACTGAATCCCTGCAGAAATATCTCAGTTACCTAAAGAGATCTAAACTGGATGAGCCTAAGGATAAAGGTGCACAGCTCCCCGATGCTTTATTCTACCTTTGCAATGGAGTGGCCGCACTCTCAGCCATTCACAGCAGTCAGTCCGGCCTGGCCTTTTTCGACCTAACTGTTCCCTGGGTACTCATCCCAGGAGCTATTATCCAGGCCTACGTCAGTCGACTACAAGTACAAGGTGGCCAGAGATTCGGCTCTGTCATTCCCTCGTTCTATGTGGCTATTTGGGCAACTTGGAGCTGGTTTAGGTTTGCAGGTATGAAACTGTAAGATTAAAAAAATACTTGGCTAAAAATTTGGGTAGAATTCAAAGATTCATATTTTTATCTGCAGGACATCGCTTGCAAATATCCACAGAGTCAGCAAACGGATTTGCAGCTGGGGCAATAGCATTCCTGGTCATTAATGCTTTCTTGATTCTAGTTGGTAGGTTTGTTTACTAATACATAACATACATCCTCACTTCTGACTTTTGCCGTTTGAAGGATTGTGAATTGGACCTTCTTTCATTTTTTTTACAGCAACCTATGGCAATCTAGTTCTCTTGGCATTGACCACTGTCATGGAGGTCATCATAGTTTGTTTTCTCCTCTCTACATTTAGAAGACTGCCCTATCAGTTAGAAGGTACAGAAATACATTTTGTTAAGAAAAGGATTGTAAAGAAATGAAATAATGTGTAAAAGTTACCTCATATTTTCTTGAAACTCTTTCTTTAGTTGCTATGCTAGCAATTTTCGCCATCATATGTTTGTATGGCATGCTAGCATCCCTTGTGAACGCTATCTTCTCCAAGACCCTGATACCAGTTGGACCTTCCCTTATCAAGGTATTATATTTCATGAATGACGACAAAGTGCTTGTGAAGTTTAATTATGTTATACATTCATGGTTAGACAAAACATTCCTACTGATTAACATCTGCTTTTTTTCGAAGGACAAGAAAAAGAAGGAATCTGAGACCACATCTCCATGTTTCATTGCTAAGTCTCGGGAAACCAGCGGACTCCTCAAGATTGCAAAATTGTTGGAAAACAATGGAGTGTGTGGTATCCCTACAGATACAGTCTATGCATTGGCTGCTTCATGCAAGAACCCCAGTGCAATTGAGAAGATCTACACTATCAAAGTAAACGCCAACACAAACGCTTTGAAACATAATATTCCTTTACAAATGATCAGCTGCCTGCACCCTTTGTCAGCTGACCCACTGACCCATAAACCTTTCTCTCCGGTAGGACCGTCCTGCAGAAAAGCCAATTTGTATCTGTATCTCAAGTGTGGAGCAACTTGTGGCAGCCAAACCTCCCTTCAGTCCTTTGCTGTGGGAGTTCATGAGAAACGTCTACCCGGGAGGAATTAGTTGCATTGTCCCGAAAGGCGAATGGCTCCTCAAACTCGGTAAGGTTATAAACACGCATTAACATTTTTTAATTACACCTAACCCTAACTGTAATCAATCTTGGGAAAAATCAACAAACCAAATGAGAGAACGTTTTCAGGAATCTGTGATGATTATCTATTATATCCAATCATTTTCAATGGTCATATTGTTCACAGGTGTGGGTCCTGCATATGACCGTGTGGGGACCAGAGAAAGCATTATGATAAGAGTACCTGACCACACTGCTACTGCTCACCTGTGTGAATTCACCGGTCCATTGGCCATTACATCAGCCAATCCCAGTGGAGAAGCTGACAGTACACATCATGATATGGTCATCAAGTAAGTTTAAAAAAGCCCCAACAATAGTTAGAGGCTACTGTGTAGGAATACAAACTCTACAAATCAAATGCATTGTACACGGAATTGTATTCAATTAATAAATAATGTAGCCTAAACAAGAGAATATAATTTGACATAATTCAGGCTGTTACCTTGAAACAACAAACCACAATACTCTAATGTTAGGCACACTTAATGCAATTAGCAGTGTGTTCTACGATCAAAGGTCTACCTCTTATATTAAAGCAT